TAAGCCCGCGGGTTCGAGACCCGCCTGGGCAACTTGGTGAGACCTCATATCTACAATAAAAAAATCAAAAAATTAGCCGGGCATGGTAGCGCGTGCCTGTAGTTCCAGCTACCTGGAAGGCTGAGGCGGAAGGATCGCCGGAGCCCAGCAGGTCGAGGCTTCAGTGGCCGGGAGCAGCCACTGCCCTCCAGTCTGGGCTACAGAGTGAGACTCCAACTCAAAAAAAAATAAAAATAAAAAATAAAATAAAATAAAATAAAAGCACTGTGCTGAAGCTTTAAAAAATAAATAAATAAAATAAATTGGCAAGTCAGAGGCTCCATGTCTCCATAACGCCCTCTTCAACCTCAACATGGCTGCAACACTTTTTCAGCACTTGTTATAGTTAGAGCAGATGGGGTAGATAAAGTGGGTTCTCTGTGCACTCAGAGCCACAAAAGCAGGATATCTGCTCTGCATGCTGGTGGATGCCCACCTGGCACTGTGACTTCATTTCCAGAGAGACTCCCCAGAGTGGAGGGAAGGGAGACTTCAGTACTCCACCGACTGCAGACTGACACAGAGGACTCAGAATGGAGAGTCCATTTCTAGCCAATCACCAAACTGACTCTTCAGCAAGATCCTCTACACATGTCATATACAAAAAAAATTGTTCTAAGTTCTGCATATTCACATGTGCGCACGCATGCACACACAAATAAATCCACATGCAGATAAAGCAGCGAGGTAAGAATCTGCTCTACAGAGGGACGCCAACAGGGTTTTTGGGGCACAGTTGGGAGGGCACATTCGCGCTCCAGGGAATGGATAATAGATCATGTGAGAGCCAGAGCTTTGCTGGGGATCACCAAGGCAAAATGCGGGAACATTCAAGTCAAACTTCCCAGCAGTTTTGCACCCTGGGAAAAGTAGCTCATCTATAAATATACTCATTTCAAAGTAATTAAGTAAACAAAGAGAAGAAGATGAAACTCATCTTTGCATGTGTGTGTGATGTGGGACTGTCATTCCTTTCTAAAATTATTTATTTATTTATATTAATTTATTTCTTTATTTATTTATGAGTCAGGGTCTCACCCTGCCTCCCGGGTTGGAGTACAGTGGCACAATCACAGCTCACTGCAGCCTCGACCTCCTGGACTCAGGCAATTCTTCTGCCTCAGCCCTCCCCACCCCCCAGCTAGGACTACAGGTACATAAGTAAATAAAACAATTAAATAAAAGGGTTTAGCAGGATGCCTGGCCACAGGGAGGACTAAATCGATGTTCAAGGTTATGAAGATGATGGGAAACAGACTCGGTCATCCCCATATGCCCCCACAGCTCTTCCATCCCAACGTATACAAAACAGGTTTTGATGAGTGTCTGCATTATTTCTTCCTACCACTGGGCCTGCACTCACGTGTCTCTTTGTTCTCTCGCCCACTGATTCACTCGTATGTATATTTATAACTCTGATTCACTCTCTCTTTCACTCTCAAATCCATATATTTATTCACTATTTTTCTCACTTTGCCAATCATGTGCTTACTCATTCACCAGCTCCTTTACAAACTCTTTCATTCTAACTGTAGGATGTCCGCAGCCTGCCAAATTAAAACTGTGGGTGCACGCTCTTTACGGTTGGACGATGCTTTGACGAGCGCTACCACCTGCACAGTTCGAACCATTCTATCAGGACTTTGGTGAAAGATGGGAACGAGAACAGGGTAGGTGAGGCCACCCCTAGACCAACTAAGGTGGTGCTCAGGTTCGGTAAATCATTTATTGAAGCAAGTACGTGTAGTCACTGCTTCTCTCTTACCTGTGATTTCCTTGGTTTCTCCATTGGTGTGCTTAAAGCGATCTCCTTCTACACGGACACTAGGACACAGCACATCTGCAAAACCCAAGAGGAAACAGACCAATGAGAAAATGTGACCCACAGTTGCCTGTGAAATATAACAGCAAACAGACCCCACCTTGCCCATAGCACAGTAGGTAGTCAGTGCCAGGAGCAGACCCAGAACTGCTCCCTCTGCATACTCATTCCCATCATGAGAGGGAGTCAGACGCGAGGGAGCATTGATATTATAAACACAGTATAATAAGTGATAGAAGAGAGTGCCCATTGCTGGGGGGCTTAGCGCACAGATACAACACCTCTATTGGCTCAAGGGGACAAAGAAGCTTTCCTGGAGAGATTTCTTTTAAAGGAGCAATAAGATTTAGCGAGACAAAAGACCAAAAGGTAATACAGGAAGAGGAAGTCTCATTTATGAAGACACATGTATATGAACACTCCACATCAGTGGGGTGTCCATGAAATGGGACTTGTATACCAGGGCAAATCAGAAGAATGTCTTGCCAAGTCACCCTGTGGAGCTTCAAGTGCAACTCCAGAAAAGTACAAATTCCAAAGAAGTAAAGCTTCTCAGTTATACAAAAGCAATAAATAAGTATTTATTCGTAAGTCATACAATTTTAAAAACTATACCATGTTACACAAATGTCTTATCTTAAATCATCATGAATTCTTACTTGAAAAAAGTTAAAAGGAAGATAAACTTTTAGTCTTTCTAACAATCTCTGAAAGAGCAATAACTTTGAATTTTGATGTGTTTTGAATTTTAACAGCTCCATGACTGACTGGCTTCATGGCGTGGAGGAGTCTCTTAAACTCAGTGCAGGCATCTGCGGCATGGGAGACCTTAAAACACACACACACACACACACACACACACACACACACACACACACACACACACACACACACCTCTATCACAGGGCTGCTTTAAGGATTGGCTGGAACCAATCCCATGACAGCCCTGAGACTGGGGTGAGGAGGTTCTGTTCTTTCTTAAATTTGGCACCTGAGGTACCCCGCTTATCTCCCTGAAGACCCAACTCTGCCCACGAAGACATTTGGTTATCATATATTATTATTACAATCATATGCCATTAGGCAATTCCACCATCCCATCAGTTCTATGTGCAATGACCTCTTCTCATATTTGGGGGCGCAAATGTTTCAGTACAGCAGTAGTTTGGGGCCTTTGTCCATCAGCAGTGAGAGGAACAGATGAGATCTTTTCTGATTTAGGAGGAGGTATTTTTTGAATGTTTATCCTAAAAGGCACCACCAGGTCTGACAAGCCCCATGGAAAGGGTTATTTTGGAAACAGCATAGAGCTGGCTGTCTAGGACTACACACAAGGGCGGGTGCAGCCACTGTGCACTATTTAGACAGTTCCACCCAGGACAGCGGCAGCTGTGGGGTGATGATCAATTGCTTTAACTTTGGCAGCCTGCCCAAGGGACAGGCTGGGTATTGCATGTCATTTTAATGAGTTTAAAGTGTAAAATGAGTTGACTCAGAAGGTTCTAACTAGTCTATCCTTGATGATGAGCAAATTCTGGAGGGTGAGTACTCCACTGAGTCGCATCTTTGCAAATTTCCCGGCGGAAAGACCATGAACACAGAAAAGATGGAGAATCTTCTCAAAGGTGGTAGAACTTGCCCAAATCACTTCAAGGAGTCCTTTCCTATACAACCCAAAGATTCCTTTTGGGGGCCATCACTAAGCCACATACATTCAAGAGGGTTAAGGGGCAATTTATAGTTGATTTGGTTAAGTCAGAACAAATGGCTTCCAAAAAAGCCCCTCCAGTCAGGCTTCCCAGGGATGTCACTTCCTAGGGGCTCATCTGCTTGGCAGGGAGGTAGGCTTAGCATTCAAGGTCACTTCTATCATATAACCATAAGCCACTTTCCAATTCCTTTTGACCCAGATACCTCCACATCTTGAACAATGATGTTTGTTTCTGCATTCACTCATTTATTCAAACTGAAATATTTACTATAATCCAAGCTTTGAGCTAGTTCTAGGGTCACGGAAGTGGATAATAGATAAGTCACATCCCTACATTTTAGAATGCTCTTAGGATGACTGTAAGGACACACTCCAAACATGTAAGTGAAAGAAAGTGTCAGAGCTGTGTGGAATCACTGTGTCCCCTTGCTTCCCAAGACTGCTCCTCCTCAATCTTAGAGACTCTGCTCAGCCTTCAACAACCCCAAGGCTTTGTTCCCATTCATCTCAGCCTAGTTGGAGACCCTCCTCAAGACCCCAGTGTCCTAGAGTTGAGGGCACCATATTGAAAGGGCACCATATTGAAGTCATTGAGCAGCTTGTCTGTCTCCCAAGGAGTGGGAGTCTTCAGATCCAGCTGGATCTCAGCTCAACTCTGAATGGTCCCTGTTGTCAAAGTCCCAAGCCCGCAACAGACCTTCAGATTGTATTGAACAGAAATGACCACTGACACTTAGGAACAGAAGTAAGTGCTGAATGGTGGACTGGGGAGCCTTCCAGGCATGGGTTCATCATGATTTTGAAGGGGCAAATGAGAAGATTTCATGAACCCCCGGGCTTCTGCCCTGTAGGTGTGGCAGACACCATTAGTCACCAGCCTAATATCTAGTTCCCATTTCTTTGTAACTAAAGAAATGCCACCTTAGTTCAGAATAGCAGTGTTTTCAACCCAAGAAGAAGAAAAGCTGTGGCTGGTTGATCTAAGACAATCATGATTATTTGGTTCCCACCTTTCCGGACTCACATGCAACTAGGGATGGACAATGATTCAGGTCTGGTCAAGGAAACAAATAACAAAAGTTTACTGAGGATAAGGAAAGAGGGGGGTTTAAAAGGCTTTTGATGTAAGGGAATAGACAGGTAGATGGGGTGGCAAGTTTACTTTCCCTTCTTCCTCCTTTAAATGTGGGACATAATGTTTGGGGGACCGTCCAGGAGAATGGAGGAAATAAGGACTCCAAAGTCAGCAACTCTAATCCTGGATGAAAAGTGTAAGAAAAACAAACTTCTCTTTGTGTAAGCCAGTGCAATTGGGCTTTCTTTACTTGCACTTGAGTGCATCCCAAATGTGCATGCATTTCCTTCCTGTGAGCTGCACTGATAAGGCAGAGGAAGGGACTGGAAGGCTAAATGCTTCTTCTGGATGTCTGAGGATAATAATGAGGATGGTGAGAATTGGTTCATTATTTTCCTGGTAAAGAAAATATTGACAGACTGAGTTACCTTCGCTCTCCCAATAAATACGAATTTATCAGGTAATCCTTCAGAAGCAACATAAGAAGTTTCTCTAAGTAAGAACAAAAAGTAAGTTCTCAGGAATCAAATGTGTATTTAATGTGTTCTTAACTGGCTGGTTGGTTGATTTGTCTTTTTGAAAGCATGAGAACACACACAAAAAATAGTCTGATTACAAAGACACTACTCCCCTAAAGTTAATTTATTGTCTACCCCTTGACGCTCATTTTCCTTCGCTCTTTAGGTAAGTAGAACATTCCAGATTTCCGGAGAGGAAAGATATCTCTTCACACAGCATGGGTTCTGTTACACCAGAAGCCTATTGATTGATTAGCACTCCTGCTCCACAGGAAAACACCAGGAATTTACTGCAGTCTTTCTGGAAAAACACTTCCACTTACTTGTCCTTTTTTTAACAAATAGCAAAAAAAAAAAAAAAAAAAAAAAAGAAGCGGGTGTTTGCCTATTAGGGGAAGGAAAAGGGTTTGTGGAAGATGGTATCTGATGTGCTCATGCTCTCTGTTGAATGCCCACACACAGCCATATCACCTCCTGACTCTTAGCCAAGAGCTCTTCCAGTTGAGAAAAGATGGCATCTGTAGTTACTAAGTGCCCACTGTGTGCCAGTCATCTTGTGTTTAACCTACAACCACCACCCTAGAAAGTATATTGTTATCACTTCTCAGATGCCAAAACTGAGCCCAAGAGGAGAAACTCACCAAGTAAATGGAGTGTCTATATTTGAATAAACGTCTACCTGAATCTAACATCTAGAAAGAGAAGTGGTGTCCTTAGACTAGGAGATCTGCAGGACCTATAGAAGCAAGGGAAGGCTGCTGGGACAGCCCCGCCGGGTACAAGACAAGAAGCAATCCCTGCTCATCCATCACCTTGCGGCAGCCGCTGCTGAGTGTAGCTAACCACAGACAAGATGTATGACATCCAAGTGGGCAGGAAGAGGCGGAGGACGGGAAAGATGAATCAGATGCCCAGCAGACACACGACCCAGTTCCTCCGCCAGCCAGGCACTTGTCCACACGTCCCCCACTTTAGAGAGGCAGCAGACACTGCGTCAGGCACAAGAGCCCCAGGGACAATGTTAATGAGGATTACAATCCTAATGGCTCACACGCACTGAGTGCCTCCTGCATGTCTAGGTTCTGCACTGGGCACACTATGCAGATTGTTTCTGAGCCACTTAACTGCTCTGCTGGAGAGATGTAGTTATCTCCATGAGCAGCAGACACATGTAGGTGGCTTGCTGGGCACCAGACACTGTTCCAGGCATGTTGAATGCATTAACACATTTAATTGAATACTCACCACAGCTTACAGGGTTGGTGCTATTATTTACAGATGTAGAAAGAAAGGTATAAAGAAGTTAGTCAACTACCCAAGGCCACACATAATGCATAATGGCTCCAGCATCCAGTTCTTGGTCTTTCCAAAGGCCAAGTCAACTGCCCGAGGTCACAAGGGACTCAAGTCTGTCTGTCCCCAACGCCTGCACCAGCAGATGGCCAGCTTGCTACCTCTGGAAGCAGTCCACTCTGCTTCTGAACAGTCTTGACTTGAAGAAGGATCATCCTTGCTCTGCACCTATGGAATTTATTTGCTTATGCATGGGGAAGCCTAGGCTCCGACAGGTTAAGTCATTTACGCAACAATACACAGCTAAGAAGTGGCAGAAGCAAGAAATGAGGCCACAGAGTCAGACATAAGCATCTGAGTGCTCAAGCACTATTCACACAGTCTCAGCATTGGAAAGCACCTTGGGTGTGATAGAATAGTA